TCTAAAGTTGATCAGTTGCTTATCTTTAACATACCACAAAAAACCTCTTTAGTATTTGTGAAGATTAACAAGTTTAAAATAAAAACAATCATAACATCACTATTTCATTTTATTTTTAAGTAAAGTTGGTTCGGCCCCCAAACACAGTTCAGATTTTTCACGTGGTCCCCCTATAGAAATTAATTGCCCACCCTTGGGTTAGAGGGAACAAATAATTCCTCTGCAAGAGCTGCTACACTGGCTGTTTATCTGTTTCTGGGCACAATTCAAATTGCCGCTTTCAATCTATAAAGCTCTAAATGGCTTGGGTCCAAGACTGCATCTCCTTTTATGAGTCTACCCAGCTATTAAGATCTTCAGGAGAGGCCACCCTCACAGGAGCATGTGGAGGGGACACGGCTCCCAAACTCTGGAACTCCCTCCCACTGAGAGGCTGGCCCAACCTCTGCTGTCCTTCTGCAAGCAGGCCATGACCTTCTTTTTAGGCAGGATTTTCTTTAAATGTTTGACTGACCAAGGAGATTTTTTTTTAAAGGGAGTGTTTTATTCTGTGTTTTACTTGTGTTTTCAATATTGTTTTTATTATGACTTTTAACATATTTGTTTAATACTTTTAAAATATTCTAATAATTTATTATTTGGCTTTTAATTTTGTTTTAAATACTGGAAGCAGCCTTGGATAATGTTAAATAAATAAGCAATGAGAATTCTGGGGAGGAGAGCAACTTCTAATTTTCTTCCATCATACATAATCACTATATAATGATCCATTTAAATGTGCATAGAGATAGACCAACTGCTGCATTTTAATATAATATTTCCCTGATATTTTTATCTCACTTCTCTAATTGCATTTAGTAAGCATTCCATTTTTGCCCTCTAGATGGCAGCAACATTCTAAATATGCCACACGAAAAACATTTCGTTCTTTCCTGCTATCAAGTGACATCTGACTTACAGAGTCTACTAGGATTTCAAAAGTATATGAGACATTTAAGGAGTGCTTCTACCAGTACGTCTGAGTACTCTCTACCTAGAAAACTTTGAAAAGAGTCACCATAAGTCAAAATTGACTTGATGGCACACAATTAATATTTTTTTACCAGTTTCATACATATATCCATGATTTTCCATGGCTGAACGGGGATTTGATTTTACCAGTTTCACACATATATCCATGAGTTTCCATGGCTGAACGGGGATTTGAACCCAGGTCTCATGCATCTTATTATACAAATCTGGGAGTCACTAGAGAAGACCATAAACTATAAAATATCACTGTGTCAGGATGTCAGGCAGATTTTGACCAAGAAAAAAAGTTTTAGGGGAAAAAGTAATATCACATTTTCTTATCCCAAAGGAAGAATCCAAAATAGCAAATCAAATATTAAAATAAACAACAAAATTAAAAACAGAAACCATATCATTCAAACATTTAGACTAATATGGAATACAAGTGAGACATAAAGGAGCATTGAAAGTAGTGGGGAACTTTAATAAAAGAATGTATTTATTTATTGAGCTTTTATATCACCCAACTTAGTGAAACATTACTTGGGGTGGTTTACATACTTAAACAAAGATACAAGAACCAAATAATACAAGAACCAAATAATTCATAAAAAAATGAAAAACATGATATCACAAACAAAAACAAAACAGAAAACAAAACAAAACAAAGGCAGCTGAAGATTGACACCTGGTAGCTTAAATGAACCAAATTACAAATTGCCAAATCAAATGACAACAGCAGTACACTTTCAATAATTTTTATTCTTATTTATTTCTATCCAAGTATTTTGCACAACTCCAAAGACATACGAGCAGTCTCTACTACATCAACACCCGGGTCATGTTTGTGCAGCAAATCAGTTGAAGCCAATAAAATTTAGGAAGAATATGATCAATTTTTTTCCCAGTGACTTCAGTGGCTCTGCACTATGCATGTGTAAATCGGGATCCAACGTAATGAAACTATTTCAATGTCTGGGGTCAAGTGATGTTGTTGGATTTCAGCTCTCATCATCCACGTTGAGTCATCACGTCTTCCCACTGGAAGAACACCCAGAAGGCCACAGATTCCTGGCTAGACTCTTGAATGGCTACTTTTAGGCTACAGTTTCCTACCAATCCCCAACTCTTGAAAGAGAGTGCCAGATAAAGCCAACTACCTTTTCCACTAGTGGACAGACACTGCCATTGTGACTTGCTTGTAAACTTGTGAACTGACTTTTGCTAGCCAGGTCAACAGTCATAATGTTGAGTCAGATAGACCAGTAGTCTAATCCAGAATGGCAGTTCTTATAGCCAGACACATAGATCAGGTAAACATTAGCCGTAAGGTGTACAGTATATCGTTTGGCTAAACATGAAAGTGCTCCAAGATTATTTCAGCATATCTGAAAAGATTTTCCCTTTGGTGTAAGCAGCAGTTCAAGTGGACTGAAGCAGATGTTCAAAATAAATTGTAGAAATTGCCATTGGACAATGAAACTGTTCTGTGTTCTCCAACAAATGTACTCCTCAAAACTCTGTGTGTGTGTGTGTGTGTGGAACTACCACTATTTGGTCAAGGAATTAGTAATCTTAAAAAAATGTATAACATGTGAGACCACTTTGGAGGTCTATCGCCATAAGGCAGGAGTGAGCAAAACATAGCTTGTGTATAACGTACAATTTGGTCAAGGAATTAGTAATCTTAAAAAAATGTATAACATGTGAGACCACTTTGGAGGTCTATCGCCATAAGGCAGGAGTGAGCAAAACATAGCTTGTGTATAACGTACAGCTCCACCAGAATCTTTCCTGTAATGTGTTGCAGGTTGCCAAACTACCTACAAAAAAATACCTCCTCCATCCTGTAGCATCTACAGGTTTCTACCAGCTACTACATTTTCAGAGATTCTGTCTCCCCATGTAGTCTTTGCAGCATCTCCTTAGCAGTTGCAACTATGGCCCCTTTCTACTGCTCTTGTGATCCAAAACTCAGTTTTTGTAGCTGCTATTCCAAGTTACAGCAACCAGTTTTTCCCTCTCCCACCAGCCTATAATGCAACGTGGCAGCTTCTCTGAGCAGTGTGAAAAGTGGCAGCTTCTTGCTCTTTCCTTCCCCTTTTATGCCTTCTGTGCCCAAACAGCTGCCTACCTTTCCTTGGTCCTCCTCTAGCACTCCCTTTTCCCATCCTTTCTTCCTCTCTTACCTTCTTATCTGCTTCTTTGGCCCTCACTGTTTTCTGGTTGGAGCAGATGCTCTGCATCCCAGTTTCACAGAGCCCTATGAATATGGAAACCAGAGCATCTGCTAGAAATTACCTTTACCAACAATCTTGGTTCTGTATTTAGTAGCAGTGTAGACAGCAACAACACTAGTACTAAAACTGGTGGCAGCTGATTAAAAATTTAAGTAAAAGAAATGTACCTGTTGAAATGCAAATGCAATGATATTATATATTTTTAAAGGAAAATGAATGATCCAAATAACCATCAATATATAAAGACTAAAAATACTAACGTGAGGATAATTATGCAGCCAGGTGGACAGGAGAGTAATGAACGAATATTTTAAATCAATGAATAATAATGATGGCGCAGTAAAAAAGAAACACATCAACAATGGTTCAACCAATAAAGCCCGCACTGGTGTATACATTTTCTTCCAATGGCTTTTGTACTCTAACCATGCCCCAGCAAGTTCCAGATCATCAAATGTGGCCTTTGACCTCTAAATATTCATCCTACTATGAACCTTGCTTTCTGGTTAGAAAGATTTGGTTTCAGAAAGTGGTTGTCTTATTTTTATCTTCTTCATTTGTATAAACATTGACGTACATACTTACTCCATTTCAGGAAAGGAATGAAGCAAGAGTGCTAATATATTTGAGCAATAAGCAGTAAAACAAACAACAGAAAGAACAACAGATTATAACCAAGGCCACCAACACAATAGCTGGGGCTCTAGTGAGGTGGGGATACCCAGTGTGATGAACAAAGACTCCAGAGACCAGGATTCAAATTT